TTAATTCAAGTCTAAATATTCAACTTTAATACCCAAAATAGAGTAGAAACATGTTATTAAACAATAAAATATCATTGTTTTGCATGAATTATTATAAATAGATGCACTTTGTTAGGCTATTGTATCAAAATTTAATGTGAGAAAATATGCTTCCCAGGACAATCTCGGTCATTTAAAAAAAATTATGGACTCAAACTTCGTAAATTTGCATTATTTTTACTAAATTATATTTAAGAAAAATAATAAGCTTTAAAAAATCATATGTTGACGCATTACTTTTCGTGGTATGACCTCTACACTAAAGGTACCCCCCTATTTTCTTTCTTCCATAAGTAATGTATTGCCACATATTTCTGTAATACTGTTAATGTTTCGGTGTATATCTGTATTAACAAGCTTGTACATTATTTAAAACAATAATTTTACACACCCAAAACCTATTGTCCCTAAAATTTATCTTATTTTACTCGAAAAAAAAAATAAAACACACTTTTCTTTAAATTGGAGACGATGAAAATTAAAAGAATTCACTGATTCTCAGAAACTGGATGATTTTGTTACAGAAAGTAACAAAGTATGCTGCAAGTGAATCACATTTGTCAAATACTTATTCAAAAGATAATTTTGCATTGGGATTCGTGGGTAAGCAGGTTGGGGGAGGGGGTTATGTGTTTTATGCAATTATTATTATTTAAAGTAAATTTTGTAATGTTTGATTAGTAAAATCCATAAATTTTCTAAGTCAAATCGTAGTCATTACTTTTCTTCCAATTATCTCTATTAGTTTCAACTTGGCCGCCGACAATAGTCGCCTCGATAGCTTGATACAGTCATGTTCTGATGTAGCATGTATATGGTCCGTGTTTTCGACGCGGCATATCAAACATGCATCATTCACAGAAATATCGTTTTATTACCTAATTATTTCTGTCAACCGATAGTTGTTCCCAGTCTTTTCTTTTTAATTAATTTATCCTTAAGTTAAACTGTACAATATGTGTTCCACGGATCCATTGTACAATATGTGTTTGTTGACGCGACCGAGCAAAATCGTTACCGGATATTTAAAACGCTAAGTAAAATTCAAACCAATATAGTTAAAAACTCTCATCTCGGAAAAAGGACGCGCGGTTCCGGTTTTACTATTCGTAAATGACGTAGTGCGAGTATAGAACTACTTTAAATGTAATTAAATTTCGGCGTTTATAAAAAATTATACCCCGAGGTAAGCTCAAATTAAATTACAAATATAATTCAATATTAAATTCTTATTATACACTGAAACTTGGCGTCTAATTGGGGATTAACTGGTATATAATTTTACATTAAAAGCAATTTTTCGTGCAGTGGCAGCTTTGCACCAAGGTCCCCACCACTCTGTGCAGCAGTGATTCAATTGCCAGACCACTCATGAGAAATGTCAATCAGTTCAATGGACAGTAAGGATGCGACTGGTGTCTCCATCCAGGGGAGGTGCATGGTCCACAAAGGTGATGGACACGTGCAAGCCTAACCCCCAGGAGTATATACAGAGAAAGGACACACGGTTCTTTTGTAAAAGATGGACTTGAGTCATGTACCTCGTCCCGTGTGGTAAATGGTGTCAAAGGACTGAATCCACTGTGCCTCCTGACTGTATTAAACATGGTGATAGGGTTTGTGCCAGATTACCTGCACAGTGTATGCCAAGGTGTGGTAAAACAGTTTATGAGCCTTTGGCTTGATTCGTCCAACCTTGGGAAACCTTTCTACGTTGGTCTGTAAAGCAGGATTACTGATCAGAAACTGTTAAAGCTAAAGCCACGCTTTGAGATTACACGCCGTCCCCGTACCCTTTCCACCCGTCGATTCTGGAAAGCTTCGGAATGGAGAGCCTTCCTGTTATTTTATTCCATGATTGTTCTACCAGGAGTTCTACCGCAACAATATGTGAATCACTTTTTTCTTTTAGTGTTGAGTATTTACACCTTATTACAATCATCTGTGACTTTTGGAGAAATCGATTTGGCAGAGAGGACACTCAGAAAATTTGTTTTACAAGTGCAGACATTATATGGTGTAGAGCACATGAGTTTTAATGTAAACCAACTTTTACATGTGGGTCAGAGTGTTCGAAATGGAGGATCCATTTGGGGCATTTCTACATTCCCTTTTGAGGGCAATGGTGGGAATTTATTGAAAATGTTCAATGGAACACAGTATGTTTCAGACCAAATCTGCAAGTCATTAATAATGTTTCAAGAGGCAAAGAACCTTCTTTACTTTACCTGGCAAGTGCCCCTGATGATATTAAAAATAATTTTTGTTAAAAATTGCTAGGGAAAGGGATTCACAAATGATATGTCATGTTAAGCAATGTTAAACTTTTTGGGCTAAGGAAAATGGGATTTAGATGTTTGAAAATCTTAGAGCATGTAGCAACTGAGAATTTCTTGAATGTTGAGTTAGACAATCCATGTGCAGAATTTTTTTTATAGTTTTCTTGCGAAAGGCAATTTAAAATATTTTGAAAGTTACACTAAGTGTAGTGGGAAATCCATCAATTATGTGATGAAAACAAAAAGAAATGTTTTTAGTTGTTGAAAAATTAATGATGTTTGATCAAAACTGCCAGCATTTTTGAGTCAATTGTGGGTGTAAAATAGTAAAATACCTTATATTGTTGGTAAAATGATTTAAAGATAAAAAAGAGTGTTGATGTCAGATGATGAAACAGTTTTTTTCTTACCAAAGTCCCCCCGTGGGGATCCGGGTTAGAATAGGTCCTCAGTACCCCTTGCTTGTCGTAAAAGGCGACTCAATGGGGCGGTTCTTCGGATGAGACCGTATAAACCGAGGCCCCGTGTCACAGCAGGTGTGGCACGATAAAGGTCCCTCCCTCCTCAAAGGCCCTGAGTGCCGAGCATAGGCCTAAAATTGTAGCCCTTCACCGGCAATGATGACGTCTCCATATCAGTGAAATATTCCGGAGAGGGACGTTAAACAATATATAATCAACCAGTCTTACCAAAGTAAAGGAAACTCAATCTAGAACTTTTGTAAATGCTGATAATTTTCAGTCAAAGTGTTGTATATGATGAAAGGCAATGATAAGTTTGTTATTTGTTTGCCTAACCATTATGAATGGGATTAACTTGTTAGTGGAAACACGATATAGAGTTTTATATATGTGTCAAAATTGCCAAAATATATTGGCAATAGTAATTCAATGCAAAGATCAAAGTATTTTGTTGCTCCTGCTCGCCTCGAAAGTGTTTATAGTGTAACATTTATTTATCAAAATATTGCCAAAATTTGAAAGTTTGGCAAATTTGTAATATTTGTAAATATATGTCAAGTTATTACCTCAATTGTTTGTTAGCAATAGTAATCATGGTAGTTCAATAAAAACTAAATTTTGTGCATTCTTTCAACATGTTTAAAATCATATGATTATAAACATGGTGAAAGTTTGACAAAAGTCTTGATTATTATTTTTGTTTTGTTGTTTGGTCAATTTTATTCATGTTCTACGTATTTGATCACTCGCCCGCTACTACTTTTTTCCAGAACAATAAAATTCATTAGTAAAGCCTTATGGAACAATATCAATTAATGTATGAAAGGGCTGTTAAATTAAATTTATATATCAGGATTGGGAAATTAACCATACATCCTATATAGATGGTATTAGGTGCCTCAGAAAATAAATATTCCATAATTTTAATCTTCACAGGTAGTGGTTGCTACGACTGCTCAGTTCCGTAGCTAGAGAACGAAAGCCTTGACCTAGGAGAAATTTTTTTAATAAAATCCCTTTCTTGTAACATAATTATAAGTTTCTGGATGGTTTTTAGGTGCTTTCATAGCAATATGAGCTCCATCTATAGCACCCAATAGACCAAGAAATATTTTTTTTTTCAAATTTCAGGTTTGTCTATTATTTCCTGGCGTTCACTAGCGGAAGGTAGTACAAGAAAAAGTTGTATAAGATGATCAACAAATATGTCAGTGATTCTTGTGCGACATCTAATAATAGAGGACTCTGTAACATTAAAGCTCTCGATTGGCTGTATTTCATGCTCTACAGTAGATTTATGAACAATGTTTATCTTGGAATGTTCTTTACAATGGTATGCAATACCACGTTCAGACTATTAGGTAAGGAGATTCAATGATGATGTCAGTAATAATTTATTGTAGGCTGAGTTCAAGTTTGGTTTCTAAGTAAGAAAAGAATGAAGTAAAAAAAGTACCCCGTAATATGTCAAAACTTTCAATTTTGTATTCAGAGAAAGTGCCAGGAAATTAAGCAAATTATATAAAAACATTATCAATAAATGCATTCGAAAATTCCATGTATTTTGGAAATCATTAAGTAGCTGGGCATTATATTGCATTTATGAAAAGTAATTTTCTTGTACTTTAGGTATGGTAACATACTTGATTTATGCCTTTGAATTTGGCAGTTATTATACAATGTATATGTTAAATATTTGATAATTATACTTGATTTAGGCAAAGTACGCTGGTATTATGTTACATTTATCAAATAGAAATCCATGTACTTTGAATACTATAATTGAATTTTTTAGAGTATACATGAATTAAAGCTTGAGATTTGATATTAGCTGTTATATCTTTTTCCGGATTTGTAATATCTTACATAATTGGTTTTTGCTTATAATTTGATGCTTAATTACATTGCACAATAATTCAAATAAAGTAGTTCGGAGTCAGCCATCTTGTGTGTTACATGTGCTCTGCATCACTATCCAACAAATTGGCGACGAGGATGGGATAAACGGAAGCATCAATAAGCCATGGCATCGATCATCGGAAAGGTGGGACCTTACGACGAATCGTTGAAAACGTAGGAGTCGTATACAGAACGTCTGGACCAGTATTTTAGTGCAAACGATGTGAACGAGGATCTGAAGGTACCCTCACTTCTTTCTATCAACGGGCCCAAATACTACACATTGTTGAAAAAATTATGTGCACCCACAAAGCCCTCTACAATGACATTTGCCGAGCTCATTCAGAAACTTACAGCACATTTAAGCCCTAAACCCTCAGAAATTACTGAACGTTTTCGTTTTCATAAACGAGATCAGACTGCAGGGGAGAGCGTGACAGTTTACATGGCAGAATTACGTCGTTTAGCGATACACTGTAATTTCGAGGATTCGTTGAGTAAGACTTTGAGAGACAGATTTGTATGTGGCTTAAAGCAGGAACACATCCAGAAACGACTGCTTGCCGAATCACAGTTGGATTTAGAAAAAGCCATTCAGACAGCTGTCGCCATGGAAACGGCAAGTCGCGACGCACTAGAATTACAGGGAAAGCGTGAAAGTGTAAGTAACCTTTCTGTGAATAAAACAAAGAAAACGAACTATGGTAAAATGAAACCCAGACCAGTACACAAAACAGTACAGGGAAAATGTTACAGATGTGGAGGGGAACACAGAGCAAATGACTGTAAACACACAAACACAAAATGTAGGTATTGTTCAAAAGTTGGACATTGGAGAGAGTGTGTCTTAAGAAGAAGCGTGAAAACGGGGGGAAAACTGAATTACGTTGACACAGATGAATACGGAATCGACAACTATGAGGATAATGGTGGTTATCTGCTGCATTTCTCAAGCTACTACAGAGATGTGAACAAAGTCTCAATAGACTCCATCATTGTGACTCCGAAAATTGCAGGATCTGACATTCCTATGGAAGTTGACACAAGATCTGCTGTGTCGATCATCTCTAAGACAACGTTGTACAAATTCCTTAAGTCATACACCCTGGAGGATACGGATACTCGGTTAAAGACATACAGTGGGGAGCAGATCCGACCAGTTGGTAAAGTGCAGGTCAAGGTCAATTTGAATGACCAGAGTGAAAATTTGGACTTGCTTGTGGTGAAGCAGGAAGGACCAACACTCATGGGACGAAACTGGATGAAATTTCTACGACTTGATTGGAAGGAAATCAAATCGATTAGATTATCGAATGACAAACGAATATTTCCGGGAAAATGACTGTTTAGGAAATTCTTGATAAAGATAAGAAAGTGTTTGAACCAGGAATCGGAAAACTGTCGGACATCAAAGGAAAACTTACAATGCAGGATGGTGTGAGACCAAAATTTGACAAGGCCAGAGAAGTGGCATATTCCCTCAGATTTCGTGTGGAGGAGGAACTCAACAGATTACAGCAGGAAGGCGTCATCTCACCTATCGAGTTTAGTGATTGGGCAACCCCAATATAACCCCTACCTAAGGCAAACGGCAAAGTGAGAATTTGTGGTGATAACAAAGTGACAGTTAATCCTGCCATGAAAATCGAACAATATCCATTACCAAAGATAGCAGATATCTTTGCGTCCCTTAGAGGAGGACAGAAATTTAGCAAGATTAACTTAACGAAAGCATATTTACAAATGGAAGTGGATGACGCATCCAAGAACTTGCTTACCATTAACACACATAAGGGACTTTTCCGCTTTAACCGACTTCCCTTCGGAATCGCTTCTGCTCCTGCTATCTGGCAAAAAGCCATGGACCAAGTCCTTGCAAACATTCCAAAAACTAAATGCATTTTGGACGACATGATTATTACAGGCTCGACAGATGAAGAACACTTACAGAATCTCAGTCTTGTGCTCGAGAGACTCGAACAACATGGTCTACGGGCAAATCTGGAGAAGTGTGAATTCTTTAAGGACAAAATAAGTTACTGTGGACATGTAATAGACAAAGATGGTTTACATAAATCCAGTGACAAAATAAATGCTGTCAAGAATGCACCAAAACCTGAAAATGTGTCTCAACTGCGCTCATTCTTGGGCCTGTTGAATTACTACCATAGGTTTCTGCCAAACCTTGCTACAGTGGTTGGACCCCTAAATGATTGATTGATTGATTGCATATTGTTTAACGTCCCTCTTGAGAATTTTTCACTCATATGGAGATATCACCGTATGCCGGTGAAGGGCTTCAAATTTAGACCTATACTCGGCACTCAGGGCCATTGAGCAGTGAGGGTTCTTTATCGTGCCAGCGCCTACCGTGACACGGGACCTACGTTTTTAAGGTCATATCCGAAAGACCCGTGACTTTCACTTCTCATGCCGAGCGCTTGGCGAAGGAACAGTCACTACCGATTTTTACGTCTTAGGTTTGACGCGGCGCCGGGAACGAGAATCGAACCCGGACCTCCCGATCACGAAGCGAACGCTCTACCACTAGGCTACCGTGAACGGTAACCCCTAAATGAGTTATTACAGAACAACAGGAAGAGGACATGGACATCCAAATCTGAAGAGTCATTTGTGAAAGTGAAAGAACTTATCACATCAAACAAGTTTTGTGCCATTACAACCCTTCATTACCTGTTCGTTTAGCTACGGATGCATCGCCATACGGAATTGGTGCCGTACTCTCACATGTCTTTGAGGATGGAGCTGAACGTCCCATCGCAATTGCTTCTCGCTCGTTAGCAAAGGCAGAGAAGGGATATTCCCAGATAGATAAGGAGGCATTAGGCATATACTGGGGAGTACAAAAATTCCATACCTACCTCTATGGACGTCGGTTTACACTGATTACAGACCATAAGCCGCTTGTTAGTATTTTTCACCCAGAAAAATCACTACCTGCCATGACTACTGCTAGACTCCAGCGATATGCTATATTCCTTTCTAGCCATAATTACAGCATAGAGTACCGGAAGACAGCTAACCACGGAAACGCTAACGGACTCTCCAGACTTCCGCTGACTCCATCGATAACGGATACCACAGATGAGGATATCGATACAATCTACTACTCGTCACAGTTTGAGAGATTACCTGTATCATGTGCCTATGTGAGAAAAGAGACTTAACGAGATCCTATTTTATCTCAGGTGCTCGACATTGTGTTACAAGGTACACGGGACTTTCTCTCGGGAAATGAATTCAAACCTTACAGAAATAGACATATGGAACTCACAGTGCACCAAAATTGTCTACTTTGGGGAAACAGAGTTATCATTCCAACGGCACTACAAAGAGAAGTTTTGTATGAACTTCATAGAAGTCACACAGGGACTGTGAGGACAAAGAGTCTCGCTAGATCTCATGTTTGGTGGCCGAACATTGATATTGAGGCTATGTGTCAAAGCTGTTCAGATTGTCAACATTACTTACCAAACCCCGAGACTCCACCTGTACACCCTTGGGAATGGACCAATTCACCATGGGAGAGAATTCATGTCGACTTTGCTTGACCGTTTAAAGGACGCATGTACTTCATTGTTGTTGACTCTCATTCAAAGTGGCCGGAAGTTGTGCCTATGTCTTCAACAACATCTACAGCAACAGTCAATGTTTTACGAGATATCTTCTCACGTCTCGGACTACCTAAGACATTGGTTTCCGACAACGGACCACAATTCATTGCAGATGAATTCAAGGGTTTCCTACGACAAAACGGAGTGAAGCATGTGACATCTTCACCTTATCATCCGCGTACGAATGGACTTGCGGAACGCTTTGTTAGGAGTTTCAAAACTGCCATGAAGAAGCATAACAAAGTCACTAACAAGGAAATCAACTCATTCTTCATAACTTATCGCATTACTCCACATGCTACAGGGGAGACACTTGCCAAGTTACTCATTGGACGTAACCTAAGGACACGCTTAGATCTACTGAAACCTGACACCAGTGACAGAATACATCAGAAACAGGACAACATAAAACGATCAAGACATACAGGATCCAGCGTGCGCATATTTACCATTGGACAATCCGTCATGGTACGAGACTACCGGGGACAAACACCGTGGATCCATGCTACTATTGTAGCTAGTCTAGGACCGTTGACTTACCAGGTCAAAACAGATGAAGGAGGAGTGTGGCGTCGTCACGTACATCAAATGAGGAGAACATCAGAAAACATGAGAGAAAGAACAGTTACGGACACTTTAGATTCTAAGTCAGTAGATCCGAATGAGATATACGCTGCACCGCCTACAAACGATACCATTTCACCTGGGACACCGGCAATTCCAAGTCGTGCAACACAAAGTACCAATCGTAACATATCTTTCGCAGACCGTTCAACTGGAGGCTAACCTCATGTCGTACAAAAACAGATTGTTACACAGACACCACCACCTTGTGAACGACGTTACCCTGTGCGCGACCGAAAACCAACAAAGCGATTGATTGCCGAGTGGTCTTTATTTGTGTTAAATGTGTTTTGAGGTATAATAATCCTCACCATGTGAATAATTGTAATTGCATGAATTTGAATTTCAATTATGTTGTAAGTCAATTATAAGTTTGATCGTTAATTAATTTTTATTTACATTTGATTAAGTTGATCAGGACATTAGCAGACATTGACATTAAGGAGGGAGGATATGTTATATCTTTTTCCGGATTTGTCATATCTTACATAATTGGTTTTTGCTTATAATTTGATGCTTAATTACATTGCGCAATAATTCAATAAAGTAGTTCGGATTCAGCCATCTTGTGTGTTACATGTGCTCTGCATCACTATCCAACATTAGCCATGTGCATTGGTGATTATGTTACATTTCTAAATCAAATAGATTTCCATGTTCCTTGGATTTTTAATTGATAAACAAAGTATTCTGGATTTAAGCTTAAGAGTTGGATTATTGATATTGTTAAGTTCTGCCATGTAATGTGGCAGTGTTTTTAGCATAAGAATGCAAATCATCACGTATCATATACTTTGACTTCACTACCTTTACTTATGTTTCTTCGGTAAGTGTCAGTTATGTACAGGTACTTTGTATTGACTATTTCAATATTGAGTCTTAATTCACAATGTCTGTTATCGCATTTCCATCACGCAGTGAAGTTAGGCTAAAGTGTCGGTCAAGAAACATTTTTGTACCATGTAATCGGATATACACGTACATATTGCTAACCTTTAAAACAAGAGGCCCACGGGCCTTATAGGTCACCTGAGTATCGTGCAACAACTTTCAAACAATTAAAATTGGTTCGTGTTTTCAACCAGAGGCCATGAAATTCACAATTCAGAATTTTGAAAGAGGCACCATTGCTCATCATAATTATGAACTTAGCATGTCTACTCTATTTACCTGATACCCAGATATAGATCAAAGTAACAAAGACAAAATGCACTTCCACTTTATAACCAGTTGTGCACTTCATCCCAAAGGAACCACTGACCCTGGGGCCACATATTTCAAAATTTTGCAAATTTTATCATAAAATGGTTGATAAATACTAAAAGAGCAGATTTCAAAGCATTAATTTATTGTCAGACTATGACCCCCCCCCCCCCTGGGCCAGGGGGCATAAAAATAATCATTTTGCTAAATGCACCTTTCTTCATCATAAATATATATGCTTGGATCATTGGCATAAAACCCAGAGCAAAGAAAAGATTTTCAAAGAATAAATGCATTTTCACTATATGATCAAAAGAGCCCCGCCCTAACACCAGAACCCCTGACCCTGCATGGGGCTATAAAATTCACAATTTTGGTAGATGCACGCTTGCTGAACATAACTATGTACTTAGTTAGTTTACGTAATACCCAAAAGCAGAGAAGATTTTCAAAGAATAAATGCATTTTCACTATATGATCAATAGAGCCCCGCCCTAACACCAGAACCCCTGACCCTGGGGCCATAAAATTCACAATTTTGGTAGAGGCACTCTTGCTTAACATAACTATGTACTTAGTTAGTTTACTTAATACCCAAGAGCAGAGAAGATTTTCAAAGAAATAATGCATTTTCACTATATAATCTATAAAGCCACGCCCTAGCACAAAAACCCCTGACCCTGGGGCCATGAATTTCACAATTTTAGTAGAGGACTCAATGCTCATTACATTCATGCCAACAGTTTGCCTGCTTGATGTCCAGGAGTAAAGAAGATTGCAATAATTTAGGTGGTTTTGGCCCCACCCCTCAGGCCCCAGGTGGGCGGGGACCATAAAAATTCAAAATTTTAATTCCCCTTCACCCACAGATGTTGTATACAAAATTTGGTTGAAATTGGTTTAGCAGTTTCAGAGAAGAAGCTGAAAATGTTCAAATGTTAACACACGACGGACGCCGACGGACAAACACGGATGGCAATAGGTCACCTGAGTGACTCAGGTGACCTAAAAACACAATGATATTTGATGGTTATTAAAAAAAACCATCACGTTCCTTGATGTAAAGTATTCAGTAGAATGAGTTATTTCAGGTAGCTGTTTTCATTAAACACAATATTCATATATATTCTTAACAGCTCCAAAAAATTACAGGATGAGACCTACGAAACAGATAAACAAAGCCAGCAGTAGTAGACCACCTAAAAAAACAAAAGGAAAGTGTCAGAGACAAACAATAACCGCCTTCAGCTTCAATGGTAGAAACAATTACAGCAGCGGTAACCCAGAGTGTTTTAGGTGAACTTAGAAAAGCTGGTGTTTTTCCAAAACGAGATGATGACTTTGCGGGACAATCAACAGAACAAACACAGCAACCTGTAAGTAGTGTCACATTCGGGACAGCACCGGCGCAAAATGCTGAGGAATTAGCACCATCTCAGGCCACTATAGAATCAAACAGCACTACCAGCAACAGATAGACAGAAAGTGAGGCTGCATCTGTCCAGCTTCCCGCAATTCTGTTTTGCGAATGCTACTTACAGTATTATGCCAGATGGTACTAATGTTCAGTACAAACCCTTATACAGGCCACTGTTTCAGTTAGATTGATTGATTGATTGTATACTGTTTAACGTCTCTCTCCAGAATATTTCACTGATATGGAGACGTCACCATTGCCGGTGAAGGGCTGCAAATTTAGGCCTATGCTCGGCACTCAGGGCCATTGAGCAGGGAGGGATCTTTATCGTAACCTGCTGTGACACGGGGCCTCGGTTTATTCGGTCTCATCCGAAGGACCGCCACATTTAGTCGCCTTTTACGACAAGCAAGGGGTACTGAGGACCTATTCTAACCCGGATCCCCACGGGGTCTCTTTTAATTAGAGGTTTAGCAGGGAAAATCCATAGGTTATTTTGAGGTATCACATGTTCGCTCGTAAAACCTAGATTTACGAGCTAAATCTGTTTTAATTAGAGATGTAGCTCGTAAATCGAGTATTTACGAGCGAACATGTAATACTTACATCAAAATAACCTATGGATTTTCCCTGTCTAGCACCCCAACTCAACCACAGAGAAAACGCTCCCTCTAGATCCCCCTACTTCCGCGCATGCGCCCATCACCATGTGCTTTTTCTCAAAAAAGAGCCGTAAGCAAAAGGTAAAAATAGACATATCAAACACAGGTGGAAGGAGGGAGGGTAGATAAGTATCACATTTTCGCTCGCAATACCTAGAATAACGAGCTAAATCTCTAATTTTACTTCACTTCACATGTAATGCTTACCACAAAATGACCTATGGAGACTTAGAAGCAGTACTCACCATTAGGAGGAGGGTTTGTTTGAATCCACCATATCCCCAGCGCTTAATACTGCCCTTCCAAACTGTGACCGGTACTGGTCCAGGTGGCGCAGGTAATATCGAATGAAGGTGATTTCATTCCTCCAGTCTGCAGCCTCCATAATTGCTATTAATTGAGTAAATAGTAAACTTGGACAAATTGTAAACAAGAAATTTCCAACTGGAAAAAATACAAATATTTAAATATAATTTTACCAAAGAAAATAATTTTTTTTTGAAATTTTAAATACTTGCCATTGGCATTGCACGCCTCCCCGAATCGATTTTTCGCAAACTGCTTTGCATTCTCGGGTTCCAATTCTATTAAACAACTAAACATCATAATCTCTCTGAGATAGTTTAGGGGCCACGGAATTACTCTCACGTAACCAGAAATGATGTGTCTACAGTCCGCTATTCCGGTACCAGTAATTGGGCAGATTCTGCAAGGCTAAGGCGATCCTTCCGAAATTTTAACATACATGTATGTTGCCATGAGCATAAACCACACAATTTCTTTTCGTTTCATCCACATCTTCTCATATGACTTTTACCCGCGAATCCCATATATCGTGCTCTGATGCGGGTTTTTTTTTTTTAGCTCTGATCAAATTCCCGCATCTGTCGCCTGATATCTATCATTTCTCAAATGCAATCAATGTTTTTCTATGTCATGTTATTTATGTTATGTTATCAGACTCTTGATTATTTTTCTTTAAAGTATTTCATTTTAAATCCTTGAAGAAGGAAGTCGTGAATTTATTTGTAAATTAAATAAATTTCATTTAATGATTTGTAATAGTTTTTTTTAAAAGGAATTATTTACAAAGTATGACTGAACATTTTTTAGAAACTCACTTCGATGATCTTTGTGAATGTCTAGATAGAGGTAGTGTCATGTAAATGGAGTGAAACGACGAACATACATATATATGTATAGGATATCGTCCCTTTTTAATATATGATAAAAAAAATTAAACAAAAGAATAATTATAGAATATTAGCATAGAAACATATACGATGTCTTGACGGAATAATAATGGGACATAAGCATAGAAACATATACGATTTCGTAATATCCCACGTGTAGAATAATTGTAGAATATTAGCATAGAAACACTTAATTACGATACATTGATTAATGATCAACGAAGGCGCGCAGTCATAAGGCTCGCGCGCGCGGTTTTTTTAAAGGTAAAATGAACTTTTAAAAAACTCGGTTCGGTGTTCTTTGTGAATGACAATAGATAAATCAAGTCAAGTCTTGTCAATTATACTCTGCGCACGTGTGACCCGGTTAATTTAAAGTGTATAACGTATAGAATATCATGATTTTTTTTAATAATAAATTAAAAATCAAACCTCGGATATGAACAATAAAACTCGTACGACCTCCCATTCTCGTGTTGAGATATTTATAACCAATTATTCTAATTATAGAACATTAGCATAGATACTTGTGTTATTGATTTAAAACTTTGTGTGTTGTTTTTTTAAGTTTGTTTGAATATATTTTTTTTTATAAAAGCAATTTTTTCCTAAATAATAAGAAAAATCAAACATAGGTTGAGATGCAAATCTAAAAAAAAAAATAGAACTCATATTACCCCAAGTGTA